GGGCTGGGAGTGCAGGCCTGCGGACGTGGGGCCGAGCCCCTCCACTTGCGGTTGCCCGTTCCAGCGTCCTCTGCCGCGGGGCCTAGGAAGTCCAAGCTGTCCAAAGCCCGTGGTGCAGCACACTTTGGGGGCAGGAGGCTGCGTGCGGACACGGGTCCCTAGTGTTGGTGGGTTGGAGTTCTTCTAAAGTCCCTCCCTTTTATCTGACTGGCCGTGGGGCACACGGACGAGAGAGCCCACTTGGCTTTGTAGTGACCCAGGCGTTTCCTTACGGTGGGAGGCGTAGCAGCACGGAGCTGGGGGCCGCAGTGCGCAGGCACCAGTGCCCGGCCGGTGAGCTACACCCACTGCACAGGCGCCAGCCGCCCCTTGCTCCCGAACCCCCTTGGACGCTCCAGGGCTTGGCCTGGGATCTGCCCTGCAGCTTGGTTTTTGGGGCCGACCACCATTGTTAGATTTGATTTAAAAGGTTATTCTTCATTTTGTGCTCTAAAATGTGACCACTCCCCTTACCCTGTATGATACTGAGGCGTAAGGTGGACAGGAAGGACCTGCCACTGGGGGTCTTCCCTAGAGTCCGGCTTCCTGTTGCAGCGAGACCTCTGAGCAGGAAGAGTGTGCATGCCCTGCCGGGGCCTGTGTCTGTGGTGCCCGCGTCCCGGTCCCAGGGGTGCCCTGGCTGGGCATTCCGGGCAGAATGGCATTTGGGGCTTTCTTGGCCTGGAGCTTCACTGCCCAGGCGGTGGAGTCAGTCCGAGGGGGACGGTGTATGCCGCCGATTCATGATTGAGTGGGTCTGGCCCCTGAGGTTGGCCAGGGCAGTGAGCGTCTGCGTGGCCCCGGAGGGAGGATGTGATAAGCACAGGTGGCCTGGGTGTAGACAAGGGTGGGTGATGCTGTGCTGTGCTCCACGTTTGGAGCCATCCTGGCAGACCTGCGTGAACTTCGCTGCTTTGGAATTTTGGTAGACCTGTCTCAGGCTGTCCATGGCTGTCAGTTCTGGGTTTTCATGGCCTGGAAGGTAGTTTCTGGGTACATAAAAAGACTCAAGAGATTATTGTTCTAAAAAGGTATCTGCAGTGCTATATTTAATTTTTTTAAAAAATTATTTATTTGAAAGGCAGAGTTACAGAGAGGCAGAGAGAGAGAGGGAGAGGGAGAGGGAGAGGTCGGCCATCCATCTGCTGGTTCACTCCCCAGATGACAGCAACGGCCGTAGCTGGGCTGATCTGAAGCCAGGAGCCAGGAACTTCCTCCGGGTCTCCTACATGAGTGTGGGAGCCCAAGCTCTTAGGCCATCTTCCACTGCTTTCCCAGGTCACAGCAGAGAGCTGGATCAGAAGTGGAGCAGCTGGGACTTGAACTGGCACCCATTTGGGATGCCGGCACTGCAGGCGGCAGCCTTACCACTATGCCACAGCGCTGGCCCTGCATTGCTATATTTAAATTCAAACCTTACAATTCAGTTCTTAATAGAACATTTTGATAGTCACATGTGGCTCTTGGATGTTGATGTTTGTCACCTGAATATCCATTTTTGCCTTTTCAGTTATTAATTGGTGCATTTTCATAATGCTAAACGATATTTCTGCACTTTATTTTATTTTATTTTATTTATTTATTTTTTTGACAGGCAGAGTGGACAGTGAGAGAGAGAGAGACAGAGAGAAAGGTCTTCCTTTGCCGTTGGTTCACCCTCCAATGGCCGCCATGGCCGGTGCGCTGCGGCCGGCGCACCGCGCTGATCCGATGGCAGGAGCCAGGAGCCAGGTGCTTTTTCCTGGTCTCCCATGGGGTGCAGGGCCCAAGCACCTGGGCCATCCTCCACTGCACTCCCTGGCCACAGCAGAGAGCTGGCCTGGAAGAGGGGCAACCGGGACAGAATCCGGCGCCCCGACCGGGACTAAAACCTGGAGTGCCAGCGCCGCAGGCGGAGGATTAGCCTAGTGAGCCGCGGCGCCGGCCTATTGTTAACTCTTATACATAGATCTTTGATCTATTTTGCATTGATTTTTGTATATAGAATGAGGTAAGGGTTAAAGTTTTTTTTATATACCCATTTAATCAGGGTGTTTTAATCAGATGCATAGACCAGATTTCATCTGAGGCACAGGTGATCACTCATACATGTAAAATAAGTAGGTATTTTTTTTTTTTAAAAAGATTTCCTTACTTGATAGAGTTATAAAGAGAGAGACAGATCTTCCATCTGCTGGTTCACTGGGATGGTGGTACTGCAGGTGGTGACTTTACTGGCGACGCCACAGCGCCGGCCCCAGACTTGGGCAACCTAACCACTTGCTAAGTACTGCTTCAACATTATTCTTTTGTATGTGGAAATCTAGTTACCCAAGCACTATCTGTTAAAAATGGTTCCTTATTGAAAGGTGTTGGAAATTTACCAAAAATGAATCGACCATAGACACACCAGTTTATTTCTAGATTTTTCTAAAATTTCTTAATTCTGTTTCATTGACCTATATGTGTGTCCTGTGCCAGGACCACAGCATCGCTCTTGGGGAGGTTCTGAAATTGGGAACTGTTCTGTTCAGAGGTCGTTTTGTCTGCGTGGCAGCAGGACATCCTCACGCTGTCTTGAGCCCCCCTCCCCCTTTACTTTTTCTCCCCAAGGATGCCGACCCCACCTCTCCAGCCCTAAAGTAAGTACCATCACACGCTTTCTGATAAGGCTGAGAAAGCAGCATAATGCCCCAGGGCTAGCTCCTAAGGGGCAGCAAAGGAACATTGAACCAGAGTTCCAGCCCCAGCTCCCTGTGGTTTGCGAAGGTGCTGAAGGTCCCCTCTTGGCCTCTCTAGAGCCCAGCTCTAGTGTTGCGTGCCGGGTCACCGCCTGTTGGGATTCCTGGACGCGAGCTGCCTCGTGAACCTGTACATTCTCCAGGAGCTTTCTCATGCAGCCCCAGTCTTCCTTCTCAGTTGCGGGAGCAGCACATGCCTCGTCCTAGTCCCTCGCGTGTCCACGTAATTTTAGAACTAGCTTGTCCATGTCTACAAAGGATTTAGGTGGCATTCTGGTGAGGACCGTGATGACTCTGTAGGCTGACTGGTGCAGTGCTGCCATCTTAATATTGAATCTTCCAATCCATAAACATGGGATGTCTTTCTGGTAAGATCTTCTGTAATTTATTTCAACAGTGTCAAGTAGTTTTCAGAGTATAAATTTTATATTTCTTTTGTTGTTTATTTGAACATATTTTATTGCTGTTTTAAGTGGGTTTTTAAAAGCTTCATTTCAGTTAAGTATATAGAAATACAGTTGATTTTGCATAGCGATTTTATATTTTGCAGCCTTGATGAGCTCGTTTATCGGTTCTAGTAGTTTTTCGGTGGATTTCCTAGGATTTTTTTAAATGTAAGATTGTCATGTTAATATAGTTTTAGTTTGTACCATTCTGGGTGACTTCTGTTTCCATTTTTGCCTAGTTGCTCTAAGCCTTCAGTACAATGTTGAATAAAAGTGGTAGTGGACACAATTGCCTTTTTTCTCATCTGGTTTGGGGATCGAAGTTATGCAAGCCTCATAAAAGGAAGTTGGAGAGTGTTCCTTCCCATACTGGACCAGGCTGGCTGAAATATGAATTATGATTAGACATTATACAGCATACACTTGTAATGAAACATTACATAGTACCTTGTAAATATGCACAACTTTATGGTAAATTCTTTTAAAAATAAAAAGTAAAAAAAATTTTTTTGACAGGCATAGTTAGACAGACAGAAAGGTCTTCCTTCCGTTGGTTCACCCCCAAATGGGTGCTATGGCTGGTGCTGCGCTGATCTGAAGGCAGGAGCCAGGAGCTTCCTCCTGGTCTCCCATGTGGGTGCAGGGCCCAAACACTTGGGCCATCCTCCACTGCCTTCCCAGGCCACAGCAGAGAGCTGGACTGGGAGAGGAGCAACCGGGACAGAACCGGTGCCCCAACCAGGACTAGAACCTGGTGTGCCAGTGCCGCTGGCAGAGGATTAGCCTAGTGAGCCGCGGCGCCAGCCAGTGAAAATGTTTTTAAAAAAGAATTTTTTAAAAAGGAATTTAAATTCTAAAAGACCAAAATATGAATTTTTATTCTTTGAATGTCTGATCTTGCTGGTAAAAGTGAGCTTGGTTTGTCTCTTATTTTTCTTGTAAGAATTTGAATGTCTGATTTCAGTTTCCTTACAAATCTTAGGTTTGCTGAGGATTTTTCTTTTTAAAGATTTATTTATTTGAAAGGCAGAGTTATAGAGAGAGGGAGAGACAGAGAGATCTTCCACCTGCTGGTTCATTCCCCAAATGGCTGCAGTAGCCAGGACTGAACCACACCAAAGCCAGGGGCTGGATGTGTCTCCCACATGAGTGGCAGGGGCCCAAGCTCTCGGGCCATTTTCCAGTGCTTTCCTGGGTGCATTAGCAGGGAGCTGGATTGGAAGTGGAGCAGCTGGGACTCACTAGCACTCATCTGGGTGCCCGCTAAGCTACAGTGCTGGCCCCGTACTCGGGTTTTATATTTGTTCTTGAGTCAGCTTTAGCATGTTATTGTACAGATTTACTCACTTCTTCTTGATTTTCGGTACACTGGGATCAAGTTTTTGTCCTGTGTTAGAATATCTGATGAGAAAACACGGTTTCTGTCACTGGACTTTTGTGTCTTTTCCCTTAGGACTTCCTTCCTTTGTCTTTTTCCACCTTGACTCCGTGAGATCAACGCTTAAGCCAACTGTAGTACTTATCCTATGCATAGTTTTACATACCATGCTTTTTGCATCATGACTCTTGCTCTTTTAATTTTAAAAAGTGTGTTAATATTACATACAACCTGCATGCATTTTTGACGAATTGTCTGAGAGTCTGGGTTGTAAAGAAGTTGCCCTTGATAACTCAATGAAGGTAAACTCAAAGGGGATGGTTTGGGAGTACAGCGGCCTTTCTGAGGTCCTGATGTCAAATATCCCGAATGGAGTAAATACTCTAATTAGGACTGAGCAGCTACTCCGAGTGAACATTAACTACACTGATATGCTTTTATTTTTTTTCACAACAAGATTAACAGAAAAACAGTCGAGGAACAAGTATGCAATAAATCCCAGTTTAAAAAATACCAAATCTTGGGTGTACGTGAGGAAGGTGTCACCAATAGAAGCAGGTTTAGCTAAGTTAGAGGATACCCAGGAATGATGTTCCTAAAACCAAGCTTGGAAATCGCTGCACTTGGCTTCAGGTAGTGACTGATCTTTCCAAGGGAATGTTTTCAAGGCACAGCAAACTGCTGCTGATAGAAATGTTAAAACTGAGAATGAGAGCACACCGACTCCCATCTGCTAGTTCGTTCCCCTGATGCCCACCAGGGCCGGGCTCTCAGTCCAGACCTCCCACGTGGGTGGCAGGAGCTGTGTCGCCCGCACAGCCACGGCTGGGATCAGGACCTGCAGCTTGGAATTGAACCCGGGTGCTCTGTGTCGGAGCTGGGCATACTGACTGGCGTCCTAACTGAGAGGCCAGAAGCCTGTCCCGGGACGTGTATGTCTGGGCTGACCTGAGTACTGGCCATGGAATCCACGGAGTACTAGTGCCAACTAATAAAGCAGTCTTACTTGCAGGAAAAAAAAAGATGTACATTCGTATTTGAAATGCGACCGCTGGATTCTCTGCCCTGGCCGAGGCTCAGCAGAGTGAGATGTGAGAGAGCGGGTGAGGTCAGGATCTGCATCTGGAGAGAAAACCATCACCCGAGGCTTTGCCGCCAGCCGGGCCGTGATTGCCAGCAGCCCAGCAGTGAGCGGCCTCGAGGAGAAAACCGCCCGCTGGAAGTAGGAGGCCGGAGAGGGGCAGGTGCAGACCAGGGCCTGCCCTGATGTCCATCAGCAGGAACCGGTGCTTCGGAAGTTGAGGGTGAGCCCGGCGATGGCCCCACAGCTTTCTCCAAAACAATAAAGTAAAATACCAGTGAGCAACCTACAGTGGGTTTGAGAACTAGATTAGCAATAAGACCTTGATTCTCCGAAGTCAGTTTAAGTGCTAGCACATCCACACACAACCCCGTCTCCCACTGAAAATCACAAGCGCAGAGGCACGTGAGTAGTGTATCAAACCGGGTGTATTAGCATAGTGATTCTATTTAAATGATTATCTTTCTTTTCTCCTCTGCAGGTGAAGATGACGTCACAGAAGTCGTCACAGAAGTCGCCACCGTTACTCTAGAATCTCCAAAGGCATTGTTGGCGGAGGCCTGGCTGGGAGGGGGCTGGGGCATCTTCTTGCTCTTCGGGGTCTCCTCAGCTGCGCTCGGGACAACAGCGCCCGCCTGGTCACTTTTAAAGATGTAGCCCGATCCAAAGAGTTCTTCCATGAGACTGCTTTTCTTGTCCCTGAAAGCCGCGTCTCTGGCCTTTGTTCTGGAAGCCTTGCCGAAGGAGGGCTCATACCCCCCCCCAGGGTGCTCCAGCCTCATCTCCTCCGTGTGGCTGCGCCATCGGCTCGCGCCAAGGTGGCGCCTCGTGCCGCCCGAGTTGGCCACCCCGCCCGTGGTGGGAAGGCCATGATGCAGGTTTTCAGTTGCTTCGGTGAATGAGTAACGCTTTCTGTGTCTCAAGGGCACCTTGGCGTTGGGGGCCGCGTGTCCCCCGGGCACCTCGTCCACGTCGTGCACCTGCACGCTGCGTTTACAGTTTTCCTTTACTGCGGCGTCTCCAGGGCTGCCTTCTGTTTCGGGATGAATTAGCTGAATTCTTTGGGGTGATAGTTCTTGCTTGTCTTTCATTAAAATGATCTCCTTGTCTTGATCCTCCTTTTTCTGTCTTCCAGAATTCTCCAGAGCTGCTTGTAGTTCCAAATGTTCCTCTTTCTTTGGTAGATCTACGATAGAAAAACAGTTCTGCGTCTTTAAAGTGAATGGATTTCTGACCAAGATGGCATGTCAGGCGCACTTATTCGTACCTTATGAAAAGCACATTAAAATGACTGAGAAGAGAATGCATTCCACACTAGAATACAGGCCAGCCTGAAAGCTGCGCTGTCCTAGAACACCCCAAGTAGACAGGAATTCTGAAGCCAGGCCAACGAGGTTATTGATAGTGTTCAGCCGCATTGGCTGGATGTGGTGTCAGTGAAAACAGTGAAAACACATGTCACCCATCCGATTTGCAAATGATTTCCAGAGTTGGTGAGCATGTGGGGAAATTAGAATTATAAAAAAAGACTGATTTAGTTGAAAGGCAGAGTGACAGAGCGCCCATGTGCTGGTTCACTCCCCCGCTGCCCACAAGAGCAGGAACGTGGTCCAGTGTTCCCTGGGGTGGCAGGAACCATGTGTATAGGTTGTCTGCTGCTTCCCGGGCAGTGTCAGCAGGCAGCTGGACTGGACCAGGATGCCAGGGTTTGAGGCAGGGGTTCTGATGTGGGATGTGCGTATCCTGGACAGTGGCTTCCCCGCACAGTCCCCCAGAGCCTGGCAAGTCCTGATTCCCCTTGGTAGGGGTGTGAGTCGAGACAGCTTTTTTGGACGGCAGTCTGGCAGTTCTACCAACATTTTAAGTGAACATACTCGTAGACCCAACAACTTCATTTCAAGGAAAAAACCTACAGAGACAGAGGGATGCTTGCTGCTGCATGGTTTAGGGACAGCAAATGTCCTAAGTGTCTGTCAGAGCAGAATAATGGTTGAAGGGCTGCAGGTGCAGCCTGTGGGATTCTGGGCCATCACGCAGAATAGGGTGGCTGAGTGTGAAATGCCGGAATGCGTGCTCACGCCAGAGTGCAAGCCCTCATCATGGATTTGTTCACCGCCCAGAGTAGTGCCTGCCGCTTAAATGCTGCTTTTGTTAAATGAAAGAATAAGCTTTCTGGAACAACGTGAACTATCAGAGTGAATTAAAAACTAAGTGGGAAAGTTGAAGTGAGCAGAGAGCCTGCAGCTGGTGGTGGGCGTCTGTCCGTCCGTCGGCTCGGGGCGGCTTCAGGTGAGTCCTGCGGCGCTGTGTCCGGCGGAGTCTGTCTAGGGCTTCCCCGGCCGAGGGAGCGCCGGGGATGCGCGGCCCCTGAGCGCTGCGGGCCTGGGGCCTCGCCCAGCTCTCCCGCAGCAGTACTGAACGCGGAAACAACAGGGTGGTGTCGTCAGGTGCCTGGAAGAAAATCGTCTCCCTCCTCGAATCTTCTGTCCAGGAAAGCGGCAGTCAGGTGGCATTCCCGGGTGGAGGGCTTACAAGCACCATTCCCAGGAGGCTGGCAGAGGGCATGGCTGCTAGACTGATGGAATTTGCCGAGGAGGAAATGGTTCAGCAAACAGAAGGGGGCGCTGTGGGACCCTGCAGGAAATGATGGAGCTCCCAGGGAGACAGCGCGCTGGACCGAGACAGACCGAGAGCCTTGCTCCTTTGACCTCTGGCTGCCTGGTGCCCAGTGAGCCAACCTTGGCCTGCTTGGCCGTGGGCTGACTGGGCATTGAAGTCCCCATCAGACCTGCGGCCTGGGCCGGCGGAGGACACTCCCCTGCAGAGACACTGCTCGGACCTGCTGCCGAGAGCCGAGAGCCCGAGGCACGCTCTGTCGCGCCCACTCCCCCAGCCCCCACGGCTCCTGGATCCGCTCAGCGGAGCTCTGCCAGGTTGTGGGTCTGATGGCTTCTCTGAGTCCCAGGACAATTCAGGACTTAGCCCCTGGGCCCTGGCACACTCAAGGAAGCTGGAGTCGCCCTTAGCGCACTTCCTGAGGTCTGCATTCACAGGGATGCTGGTCTTTGCTCAGCGGGTTTGAACTTGCTGGTCAGCTGTTCAGGTCTGAATCCACCGTGAGGGACTTCAGATCTGGTGTCCTCCCCGATTGCAAATGCTGAGGTCCTGACCGGTACCGTACCTGACCTGTACCTGAGATGGGGCTTTAAGGAAGTGGTTCAGGTTACGTGAGGTCCTACTGGGGACCCTCTGGAAGGTGCCCTAGGAGAATGAACGGCAGAACTCGTCTTCAGACGGTGCTTTATGCTTTGTGTGTGCGTGTGCGTGCAAACTGCTGAAATCTTCACTCGATATAGACTTGATCTTCTGTATATAAAGATAATTAAAAATGAATCTTTGTGGGGGAGGCTGAATCCGGAGAGGCCCAGAGGGAACTTCCTGAATTTGAAACTTGCCTGGAATTTGAAAACCCGTCTTTAAGTTTCAAATCCCTGGTGGCAAACACCCCAGCCCCAGGGTGCGTCTGCCTAGGGATCATCAAGGTGGTACAACAGGAGTGGCTAAGAGCCTTGTGCATCACAACACCCCACCCCTTGCCCGCATCGCTCATCCGCTCTGTACCTCGGCTGTATATACACCTCCCTTTTACAGTACAGTGAGACCCTGCTTCCACTGGGCTCCACACCGCGCCTGACAGTCCCCGGGTTTGGGGAGGGCGAGTGGCGGGTGGCGCACTTCCTCTCCTCAGTCAAGGCAAGCTGCGGGCAGCCTGGCTAATTCTCCGGCGAGGAACAGTCACCGCACATCTTAATGAAGAATGGGATGGGGGAGGGAGCGGAGGTGGGACGGACGGGGGTGGGGTGGGAGGGCAGATGTGGGGAGGAGGAACCACTGTAGTCCTAAATCAGTACCTGTGAAATGTAGATTTATTAAATAAATGCTTTCTAAAAAAAGGAATAGCAGAGTGGTGGTGCTCTTCCCACCACGTGCACCCGGAAGGCCTTGAAGACAGAGGGAAGGTGGCCAGCTGCAAGCCAGAACAGAGCTCAGCGGAAGCCAAGTGGCGAGGCCTGGGCCTGGCCTCCCTGGCGCCCAGGGCTGAGAGATCAGTGTCTGCTGGTGGTTTGTGGTGGCAGCTCAGGCAGACCAGTGCAGCTCCGGGAGCACAGGGCGCGGTGGGCAGACCAGGGAATGAGGCCATGAAGCTCTAGATGGCCGCGGCTCCTGCGCGCAGGGCAGGGCGAGCAGCCGGCGGAAGGGACTGCGGGTGTTCTAACGAGCGCTGATGTGCTGTCTCCTAAGTGACACACCGGGGACATCGCGCCCCCGTTATTGTTTTAGAATACCTGTGTTTTATGTGTGCTTTTACATTCATACATACTGACACAACTTAATCAAAAGAGAAAAGCAGACTTAAGATTACCTTCGTATTTTCTCTTAGAATCTTCTTGGTTTAGGAGTTTACTGATACTGTGTGAAATTTCATAATTTATTACAGTTGTTTTTTCTTTATGGCCAATGTTTCTTGTTGTCTTTTTATCCTATAATTTAGAAAAGCAGCAAAAACATTTTTAGGGTCTAGATAATTTTTAAAATTGTTTGAGAGGGAGGGGGGAGGCAGGAAGAGAGAGGAGGGGGAGAGAGGGAGGGAACAGGGGAAGAGAGAGGGAGAGAGGGAGGGAGGAAGAGGGAAGGAGGGAGGGAGGGAACAAGAGGAGGGGGGAGAGGGGGAGGGAGGAAACAAGGGAGGGAGGGAAGGAACAAGGAGGGGAAGGGGGAGGGAGAGAGAGGAGGGGGTGGGGGGGAGGACACACACAAGTGTGCTCCCTCCCATCTGCTAGTTCACTCCCAAAATGGATGCAATGGTTGGGGCTGGGCCAGGTCGACACTGGGAGCAAGGAACAGGACCAGATCTTTGTGTGGGCGGCAGGGACCCAGCTACTTAAGCTGCCGATGCTGCCTCCCCCGTCTGCACTGGCAGGGAGCAGGAGTCCAGCGCTGGCACTTGGAAGGGAGCCCAGTTAGTCTGATGGGGGAAGTGAATGCCTTACCGCTAGGCCAACTGCCCGCTCTGGTCTAGATACTTTTAAACTGTATTTTGTTCTAACGGACACAAATACTTTTTATACAGAATAGGTGACGTAGCCTAACTTATTTTTGTTAAGACATTTAATTAAACACTGCCCGAGTAGCCATACCTTGGTTGTTAGGGATGGGACATCTGCTGATTTTTGGGTTTCCTGGTGTCTCACACTAGTAGATGGCAAACTTTTTTTGTCTGCTTGTACTGATTTTGTTGAAGAAACTACAGAACAGGTGGATTGTATGTAAGAGACATGTTTTACAGTTGAAAGCAATATAGAGTAACAACACTAAAGTATGCAATGTAGTAATAAAACAGCATCCTAGGTATTTCATAAATATTCAGTATGTGTACAACATTTGCCAGTTTTCTTTTCAGACCTGCCATTGCTCCTGCTTTATCTTTTTTTTTTTTTTTTAAGTTTTAAGGATTTTATTCAGTGAGAGAAATGCGCAGGAGAGTGAGGGCTCTATTTCGGGGAGAAAGAGAAGTCTAGAAGCTAGGTTGGGTCTACGCCAAACAGAGTTGTCTTCTTTTGAGCCAAAGGGTTATTCCTGGGATCACAACGTTCGTATACAGAACAGATGGGGGGAGGTAAGAGTGCTGTCGGAGGACAGGCTGTCGCTCGCAGATGGGATTCAAAACTAGACGTGCACCTGTGCGAGGCCAGGTTGTCCACGCTCAGCTGCCTGACCATGGAATCTAGACTTCACATTCCTTGAATATTCTGTCACTTAACCCTCCCTTGGCTGGCTCACTTTTGTTCTGGTGGCTGCTACCCGGCATTATAAGCCGGAAGCAATGGAAGGCAAGGACACTGGAGGTTGCTGCCTTTGGAAGTAAACATGCAGTTACTTCTCTGACCAAAATGGAGGTGAGTGTTCCTATTGGGCCTCGGCTGAGCAGGATCCAATTCCAGGAGATCTTGGGGGGAAACAAGGACACACTGTCTTGAAGGGAAAAACACCGTTTTGCAATAGAAAGATCCAAACTCATGACATCAGCATCAACACGGGCGAATCTGAAAACACTACGGCAAAGAAGCCAGACACAGAAGAGTAGACGTGGTGTGAATCTGCTGGAAGGGAGTTTCACAGTGGGCACACGAAGTGAACGTGACAAGGGAAATCAGGGGTTGCCTGGGCCGGGGGCTGGGATGGGGCATGAGAGCCCTGGGGAGGCTGTCGCTCCCCCTCTTCGTGGAGGAACGACACAGGACCCTGCGCTGTTCTTTCGTCTGCTCGGCCCTCCCCGGGTTTGCTGCTGGTTCTTCCCGGGTTGGCTACCGTCCCTTCCACCTCCGTGGAAGGGCTGTTCCCCCTGGCCACATTCCCCACTTCCGCGGGGGAGCGGCACACCGCCGGCCGGCTCTCTCGGGGGCTGCACAGGTGTTCCCCTTAGATGTTCCCCTTAGATGTTCCCGGTGCATGCCGTCTCTCTCCTCCTTTATAGTCCTCCTCTGCCAATCCTAACTCGGCTGCCCACACGCCGAGTACGCTGCTCTCCTCCAATCAGGAGCAAGTCCTACAGTTTATTGGCTGAACTGGAGGCAGCTGTGCAGAAGCTGTTTTCTTCTCTCCCAGTGCCATATTGTGGGAGAGCAGATGCATAGAGTAAGTCTTAATTCCAGTAACTTAGTCTAGTCCGGGTTGCTCCCCACAGATCCCCCTTTCTTTTTATTTTTTGGCGTTGATACGCGCCTGTCTTCGGTGTCCCGCGGCACACACTCTGCTCTACTTGCTAGAGTTGCCACAGGTTCTTACAAGTCCTATCAATCAGGCAAACCGAATCCGGGTCCTCTCTTTGCCATGTTGTGAGGAGGTTTTTAGGCGCTGATGCATGCCTGTGTTCGGTGACCTGCGGCTCATACTCTGGTTGAGCCGCCTGCTGGTGCTTACCGCCTTAATCAGGCAGACCGAATCCAAGCTTTCTCATTGCCATATTGTGGGGGAGACTTATTAGTGTTGGTTCGTGCCTATCTTCGGTGACCTGCGGCGCATAAGCTGCTAGCCGCCCGCAGGTGCTCACCGCCTCCCTAATCAGGCAGACCGAATCCAAGCTTTCTTATTGCCATGTTGAGGGGAGGCCTTTCTATTTCTCTATCTCCGGGCATTCCTATTTCTTCCATTTTACTTCTATCTTCCAGCATTCCTATTTCTCTCATTTTACTTCTAAACTTCTGTTTCTCTTATCCCCGCGGCTTCCCGGCGCCTCGCCCTGCCGGCGCCCGCCCCGAGGCTGCTTCTCGGCACTTCGCCGGCTCTGAGCCGCTTCAGCCCGCGCCTCTCTCATCTGCGCGGCTCGGCTTTGCGCGCACACTCCGTGGTTATGCACTAGCCCCGCGTTCCCTATCTACTTGAGCCCTGCACGCTCTGTCTGCGCGCGGCAGCCTCCGCGAGTCACACAGCGGCGTAGCTTGCGTCTCCGCCATTAGCATTCAATCCAAGTTCCCCGGGCTAGCCTGGCGAATTCAACCCAGCTCACGTCTCCGCCCCACGATCTGGCTTCCCGTCCTTTGCTCCCCGGGCTAATCAGACGGATCCCAATCCGGCTTACGTTTCTGCTTCTGGTTTCAACTTTTCGCCCCCTATTCCCGGGCTAACTTGAGAATCCCAAAATGGCTTTCGTCTCCGCCTTGGCCTGCCCCCCGCGGCTTCAATTTCCCTAACATTTTTCTCTACCCGGTATGTTTCCCCAAGCTTTCCTCCAACAATACTCCTCCCTCATTTCTCCTGGCCTCTCCCCACAGTCCGCATCCGAGTTTGTTCTAGCTTTCACTTTCACTTTCGACCTTAGCGATTTCTCCCAGCTTCCCCCTGTAGTCCGTATCTGAATCTATGCCTAGGCTTTCAATAGCTTCTTCCGGCACCTCTTTCGTCCAGCTTTTCCCTAGGCTGTTTGCTAGTCTCTCTCTCCGATATTTTCCACTTCTTCCTGTTTCTTCCCTCCTAAGTTTCATATCCGTCCTAGGTTTCCTATCCGAGTCATGGCACCATTATGTCGCTCCCCCTCTTCGTGGAGGAACGACACAGGACCCTGTGCTGTTCTTTTGTCTGCTCGGCCCTCCCCGGGTTTGCTGCTGGTTCTTCCCGGGTTGGCTACCGTCCCTTCCACCTCCGTGGAAGGGCGGTTCCCCCTGGCCACATTCCCCACTTCCGCAGGGGAGCGGCACACCGCCGGCCGGCTCGGCTCGGGGGCTGCACAGGTGTTCCTTCAGCTAGATGTTCCCCTTAGATGTTCCTGGTGCATGCCGTCTCTCTCCTCCTTTATAGTCCTCCTCTGCCAATCCTAACTCGGCTGCCCACACGCCGAGTACGCTGCTCTCCTCCAATCAGGAGCAAGTCCTACAGTTTATTGGTTGAACTGGAGGCAGCTGTGCAGAAGCTGTTTTCTTCTCTCCCAGCGCCATATTGTGGGAGAGCAGATGCATAGAGTAAGTCTTAATTCCAGTAACTTAGTCTAGTCCGGGTTGCTCCCCACAGGAGGCGGAAGTGTGCGCTATCTTGATTGAGGTGATGGTTTTATGGGCATAACACTCGTCAAAACCCACTGAACTGCACACTGAAAGTGGGTGCATTTTATTGAGATAAAGTATACCGCCATGAAGTTCATTTTCAAAAGCTACACATCGGCTAATATTTATACTTAGCTCAATTTTTGCAGGGTTGGGAAGGTTAAAGAAAAAGGAAAGTTCAATTTTTGTCAGGCATTTTGTTCCAAGCAGAAACATTATGCTTTGTTCCATCAGGAGAAGGACATAAGGGAATATGCGAAAATGGGGAAATAAGGCATTTCCATGCTTTTCTGGATATTTCTGTCATATCACAGTTTAATTATTTTATCTTGTAGAATTGCAAAATATATTTTAGCACCTAATGAAGTGATTTTTTTTTTTTTTGACAGGCAGAGTGGACAGTGAGAGAGAGAGACAGAGAGAAAGGTCTTCCTTTTGCCGTTGGTTCACCCTCCAATGGCCGCCGCGGCCGGCGCACCGTGCTGATCCAATGGCAGGAGCCAGGTGCTTCTCCTGGTCTCCCATGGGGTGCAGGGCCCAAGCACTTGGGCCATCCTCCACTGCACTCCCTGGCCACAGCAGAGAGCTGGCCTGGAAGGGGGGCAACCGGGACAGAATCCAGCGCCCCGACCGGGACTAGAACCTGGTGTGCCGGTGCTGCACGGTGGAGGATTAGCCTAGTGAGCCGTGGGGCCGGCTCTAATGAAGTGATTTTTAAAAGCGATCCATTGTTTTGGCTAATTAGGGAGATCTGACTAGATACTTAAAAACAGAATTTGAGCAAAAGTAATTAAAACCTACCTTTTGGATACTCATCTTTATCAAGCAGATTTTTAAGAATTCGATTAGTATAGATGTTTCTAATTTCAAGCTCACGATCCTTCTCCTAAAAAGAAACACAATACCAACTTTTCTATGAATGTTTGCTTTCATGGACATTGATTTCTTAAAAAAAAAAAAAAAAAAACAAACAAACAGTTTAAGTGCACTCAGTATCCTGTGAATAAAATCTAGATTCTAGAAAAACAGGAATAGGTTGTATCACTGCATACCACTCTTGACATCAGAAAATCCTGCCTTTTTAACAGTGGCACATTATTGTGATGACAACATTTCTGTTTTTAGAAAGATTTCATTCATTCATTCATGCAGCTATTTGAAAGGCAGAATGATAGAAAGATCTTCTACCTGCTGGTTCACTCCACAGATGGCCACAAAGGCTAAGTCTGGGCCAGGCTGAAGCCAGAAGCCAGGAACCTCATCCTGGTCTCCAGTGTGGTGACAGGGGCCCGAGCACTTCGGCCGTCTTCCACTGTCTTTCCAGGCACAAGCAAAGTAGCTGGGGCTCGGCTCTGATCTGGGATGCTGGTGTCGTGAGCAGTGGCTTGGCCCATTGCACCGCAGGGCTGACTTGAGGACAATACTTGCGAAGAGCCTTGCAAGCACGCTGCTTTCACTGCGCCCTTCCTGTCCCTGGGCCTGGCCTGACGTTCACTGTTCCTTTGCACTGGCCACTGCAGTCGCCACCAGCTCCACGTTGCAAGTTGAATGCGGATGCAACAGTTCAAATCCATCCTCAGTCCCACTGCTTGCATATGAAGTGCCCGATACCTGCGTGTGACCAGTGGCCCCAGTATTGGACAGTGCAGACAGACATTCCCATCACCATGGACACTGCTGCTGGGGCTGCATTTAGATGAGTGGAGGGTGCAGAAAACCTAGACTAAGACATCGCCCATTCTCTGTGCAACTGCAGCCCCACCTGGGCTCGCAGGAAGAGGTTCGGGTAGGGAAGATGGAGAGGAGAGCGGGTTTCTGCAGATCTGATTGTACAGTGCAGGCTCTGAGCGCCGTGCAGGCATGACGTTGGCCTGTTACAGAGGCACAGACTCGGGCTCCACAGGACGTTCCTTCCTCTTCTCCAGAGTTCAGGTTCCCGAAGTGGGGATGAAGCCACGTGTCTCCCTTTCCTTCTCATTGTGGTAATGTGTAGCCTGAACAAGAATCTTGCTGACAACTCATCACCAGCAAAAGTGGATCAAGTATGACAGCACTTTAAAAAGTGCATGGATAATGGAATTAAAAGATAAATTTATTTGGGGCCTAAAATTTTGGAAATCAGTTTTTTTCATGATATGCATATTTGTTAACCTTCTAAAGGCCCCACATATGGATGAATTTCAGATTTTTTGCTCCAGAATAAATATAACTTCTAATTCCTTTTATCCATGAACTTTTAAAAGCAGCCTCATATAATCTGGATGGAATGTTTAAGAAGAAGGTTATTGTACAAAGCATTGAAGAATTATTTGTCATCTATGTGGGTTAAGACAAAGATTTTGATATTAGAGGGGCATATTGTCTTTTAGTTTTTTTAGAAAGTAATTTTCATTTATTTGAAAGAGACAGATCTCCCACTTGCTGGTCTACTCCCCAAATGCCAGCAGCAACCAGGGCTGGACTCAGCAGAAGCCCGGAGTCAGGAACTCAATCTGGATCGCGCATATGGGTGGCAGGGACTCGAGTAAACTGCCCGAGCTGTCGCCTGCTGCCCCCAGGGTGCTTGTTAACAAGAGATGGAATGGAGAGCTGAGCTGGGACTTGAACCTAGGAGCTCTGGTAGGAGATGCAGACGTAACTGCTGCACCAAATTGCTAGAGGGGCACATTTGATTACCTGGAAAATTTTATCTTTTATGTTGCAGCCATCTGGAGGGTGCAGCAGCAGATGGAAGATCTCTCTCTCTTTTGTCTCTCTCTCTAACTCCACCTTTCAAACAAATATGAATAGGGGCTGGCACTGTGGCACAGCGGGTTAAACCTCTGTCTGCAGTGCCAGCATCCCATATGGGCGCCAGTTCAAGTCCCTGCTGCTCTACTTCAGATCCAGCTCCCTGCTAATGTGCCTGGGAAAGCAGTGGAAGAAGGCCTGAGTCCCTGGGCCTCTGCACCCACGCGGGAGACCTGGAAGAGGCTCCTGGCTTTGGCCTGGCCCAGCCCTGGTGTTTATGGCCATTTGGGGAGTGAACCAGAAGGATGGAACACCTGTCTCTGTCTTTGTCTGTCTTTCCTTCTCTCAGTGTAACTCTGATTTTCAAATAAATAAATAAATCTTTAAAATAGGTCTTATCTAGTTTCTCCAAACTGTCGGAAATTTTAGAAATCTTGATGGCAAAAAGCCATCTAAAAAGATAACTATTAACAAATTCTTATTTTTAAAGCAGTGCACACACTATAAAAGACAGTTTTGCAGACATATTTGCAAGTGAAACTTTAAAATAAGTTTATGGGCCAGGGGCTGCCACTGGGATGCAGTGGGTTGTCCTACTGTGTCAGCGCCATTCCACACTGGAATGCTGATGCAGGCCTCAGCTGCTCCACTTCCAATCCAGCTGCTTGCTAATGCATCTGAGAACACAGCAGCTGCCCAAGGACCTGGGCCTCTGCCACCCATGTGGGAGAACAGGATGGAGCTCCAGGCTCCTGGCTTCAGCCTGGCCCAGATCTGGCTGCTGTGGCCATTCAGGGAGTTAACCAGCAGATGGAAAATCTCTCTGCCTTCCTCCGTCACTCTACCTTTCCAAATGAATACATCTTTAAAACATTTATGCGCCATTATATTTTACCTTAAATATTATGTATGTTATAAGAAGTTAATTTTGAAATTTAAAACCTTATTTTGAGGGGCCGGCACTGTGGTGCAGCGGGTTAAAGCCCTGGCCTACAGTGCCGGCAAACCATGTGGGCGCCAGTTCTAGTCCCAGCTGCTCCACTTCCGATCCAGCTCTCTGCTGTGGCCTGGGAAAGCAGTAGAAGATGGCTCAAGTTCTTGGGCCCCTGCACCCACGTGGGAGACCCGGAAGAAGCTCCTGGCTCCTGGCTTAGGATCGGCACAGCTCCAGATTGGCGCAACCAACTGGAAGTGAACCATCGAATAGAACACCGCTCTCTGTTTCTACCTCTCTCTGTAACTCTGTCTTTCAAATAAATAGAATAAGTCTTAAAAAAAACCCACACCTTATTTTGAGTTATATGAATCCCTTATGTCTCATCATCCTGTATATAGGACATCTACAAAGTCTTAATTGAGCAATGAATCTACCATTTATGGTGACTTTGAAATAAATATTATACCACTGAAATATTCACAGAATTAAACACTTGAGACTTAATGGGTTAAATGCTAACAAAATGCAGTAATATTACTTAATGTTATGAAATACAAATGATAACAGAAACACTACTTTTCCAATTATAGTAAATACACACAGGCTGTTAACTCATTCTAATAATTGCACATCCTCTGTCCATTCATATGATTGTTGGGAAGAAACCTGATTTGAAAAACATATTCATCAAGTTAAATAATTTCTTAAAGTTATTTATTTATTTGAAAGTCAGAGTTGCAAGGGGAGAGGGTGAGAGAAGAGAAAGGTCTCCATCTGTTGGTACACTCCCCCAACAGCAGGAATGACCAGGGCCGGGCCGGGCAGAAACTAGGAGCCTGGGACTCTATCCCGGTCTCCACTTGGTGCAGGGGCCCACACACTTGGGTCACCACCTCTGCTGCTGTTCCCAGGCCCTTGGCAGGGAGCTGGCTCCAGAGTGGAGCAGCTGGGACACAAACTGGCACTCAAATGGGAGGCTGGCGTTGGAGGTAGTGCCTTTGCCAGCTGCACCACAGTGCAGGCCCCTAAGTTAGTAATTTAAAGATGTAGTAGGCATAAGTAGTTCCGATCTTTCGGGATGCAGACTTTCACAGCTTTCCCTCCAGTTTGATACCTTGAGCTTTTGTTGAAGGCGCTTTACTTCCATCTCCAGACTCTTGGTGGCTGTCTGGGCCGTTAAGGTCTTCCGGTTTTCAGTGGCTAACTGCCGACTAAAGGCTCTGTTGTTCAACCTCAGCTGTTTCTCCAAGCTCTGAAAATGGCATATATCGTTCAACTACTTGGTAACAATTTGGTGTTAACAAGAACTATAACACAAAGTAATCACGAATTAAGTTGTGTAAATTTTCAATATGGTTTTAGTGAATGGCTTGTAACGGGGACATTTGTTAGAACTAAGGACAGCCCCCTACAAAAGTCAAAGAACCCAGATCCTTGCTCAACACCACATGTTTCAAGCATGATTTTTTTAATGTACTGTGGAATTTGCTAAAAAATTTTGAATAGATCCTGAAAATCAATCAATACAAGCGACATCATACTTTAAGACAGATCCTAATGAGTTCTGGCCCATGGAACTGATTTGCTGTCCTTGCATAGGATACTCTAAAAATCGCTCAAGTCTCCCTCCACCAAAGGCTCTGCATCTGTGTAGGCCATCAGGAACCCTGATTCCCCAGGCGACAGGGACTGAAAGATACAACAGGGACTCCCACGGCCACGGCCACACCCATTCCACTCTGCGGCCCTGGACGCACACACTCAACTGCTCTCTCGGCTGAGAACCCTGCGGTCTGGATTTTGACAGAAGGCTTGGCCTGAAGGACTTAATTTTTTTTTAATATAAAATAGGGCCTTCCCTTTAATATTGATAATTCCCCAGTAAGGCAAAGGGGAAGGCAAACACTAAAAGGATGAAATAATCACTAAAAATACCACTTCACAAAATACTAGAGCTAAAACAAACTACATGTTTTGGCCTGAAAACATCTCTCCACCAAATGCACTATGACCAAACAGAAATCTCCCATGCTACCACTACTCTGATGGCCAGGAATCACTGACTAGTTCATTAGTTAACTTTGGTTTTGTCTGTAGGTCCCGAAACATGAACTACCTAAATATTTATATTTAAAATATGTATATAAGGTAAAACATATTTAGTTTTACATAAGAGACATTCGCCTAGATGGATCTAATATGAATTAAAAGACCAAATCGCATTGCTTGTTATTTTCTGGCTCTTACGTATCCATCTATAGAAGAAATAATTGAGATGTGGATAACATGAACTTGATCTTATTTCAAGATCATAGGAAATATTTGCCTGTTTTTTTTTTTTTTTTTTTTTTTTTTTTTTTTTTTTTTATCTAGAGTGGACAGTGAGAGAGAGACAGAGAGAGAAAGGTCTTCCTTTGCCGTTGGTTCACCCTCCAATGGCCGCCGCTGCAGCCGGCGCACCGCGCTGATCCTGGCAGGAGCCAGGAGCCAGGTGCTTTTTCCTGGTCTCCCATGGGGTGCAGGGCCCAAGCACCTGGGCCATCCTCCACTGCACTCCCTGGCCATAGCAGAGAGCTGGCCTGGAAGAGGGGCGACCGGGACAGAATCCGGCGCCCCAACCGGGACTAGAACCCGGTGTGCCGGCGCCGCAAGGTGGAGGATTAGCCTATTGAGCCACGGCGCCGGCTAATATTTGCCTGTTACCATAAAATATTAAAGAATTAAACAGTAAGTGAATCCCATTTATGTTTATGTGCACAGAGACCAAAACTATCTGCAACGTACAGCAGGCAGGAGAATTCTCAGCAAGATGAGGGCCTTCCCTGCAACCATCCCTGGTATAATCCCCTGGCTTTGGACAACCACATACTGTTGTCATTTACCTCTTAGTTGTTTTAATTCCTTTTCCTTCCTTGTTTTCAGGATTGTTATCTGGCAAAATTCCCATTTCTTAAATAACTAAAAGTGCCTGTGGCAGTGACTGGCCAGATTGCTGAAGGAGACTACCGGACAGGAGACAGACTGACGGCGACACTGGTCAGGTGTTCAGGGAAATGGCCTTCAAAGAAGCAGTTTAGAGCAGAGGGCTGGATTCTAAGGTTTCACACAACACAATGCAAGTTTGCGGGCCTGCACAAACTTCCTTAACATAGCCCCCTCATTTGCAGAGAGACGAGCTCACTAGGGTGAACAGTTGCTGTCCCTAGAACAGAATGAACATTTGCAGCTCTGAACCTGGGGTTTGCCTCCGGCCTCTCCCTGCCTGCCCCGCCTGGGCGCCAGCAGGAGTGCTCCGTGTGGCATGCCACTCTGGGCCGTGTGCAGCGCTCCGCTGTGGAGGGGCGCCTGTGCACAAGGTGCACCCTCCCTGTGTTCACTCTGGGATCTTACAATGTCTCGGCTGGCCTCTGACATACAGACCTGTATTTTTTTGTCATTGGCCTCCATTTTCGATGTGAGAACCGACAGCCTCTGCGTGAGTTCTTCCCTCTCGGCCAGGTTTCTGTCTTCGTTGAGCCTCTGCAGCGCCTGCAGGGCGTCCTTCACCTTCAGTAGCTCGCTGTCCGTCTCTCGCAGCTTCCTAGACACGGCTCTCTCCTTTTCCTGGGATTTCCTAAGCAGCCGCCGTAAGGTCCTCACTTCATTCTGGTGTTTAAGCATGATTTGAGGCAGGTTGATCTGTGAATTCTCGTACTTTCCTAGAGCCTTCAAGTGCCTAAGCTGCAGTTGTTTCAAAAATTGGTTCTCTATGACGATGGCTTCCAATTTACGATGTACATCAGCTAATTCATTTTTTAGTTCCTTGAACTTATGAATCCTTGCTGAGAATATGCGATGAACCATAGCATCCCTTCTCTGGGTAATCATATTGATTTGAGAATTTAAAAATGAAGCATTCCAGGTGTGCTTTTTTTCAATTGAGATTTCCTTCTGGCCTGTGTAAGCAGATAATCCAGTTTATTACCAATATATCACAAATGCAAAAATACGCCCATATGCGTAGCCCTCGCCCCATCCTGCACACATATATACAAACATAAGCGTAACCAGAACAAGAAAGAACTAGCATTTCATGAACACCTATGATTGAGGCTTTGTACTTTATATATGGATAGTTAATTTAATACAATTTTTATTCTACTTTATAGCTGAAGCATTTCAGTCATTTACCCAAGGTTGTACAGCTATGAGGTACACTGAAGGCACTGAAAGCCAAGCTTTGACTCTAAAAGCTGTATCAATATTTCTATATAAAAGCTATGGTAAAACTCACAATACTGCACTAGGTAACATTTGCTAAGTGCTTGGCGTGTGTCAGACTTTGAACTAAATGCTATATATAGATGATGTGACCTAATCCTTTCGGCAATATGTCATGAGGTAATCTGAGCGTAATGTGAGAGCGAATGTGAGATGTCACATATTCAGAATGACACTTAAAAAGCCATTAAACTGCTCAGAACATAACTGGAATCGACGCAGATATTCCACCTCAACAAATCCAGTGCAGGCACCTGCTTCCTCCTCCTTGGCTGGCCACACAGTGCAGTACTTGGCATGTGCTCAAGGGTCCATTTTAATCAAAGATTATCTAAAAAAAAAAAATCACTGGGCTTTTATAATTGAATCGGGGTATAATCAGTGTCTGTGTAATAGTACTGTACCGTTACCCTGTTTTCAAGGTGGGCAAACTGATGCTTTGGGAAGTTAACTGTCAGTGGGCGCCGGTGGCTAGTCTTGGTGAGGCAGAACCCGCTGTCTGTGTGCCCATGCTACTGCCCTGTAGGTGTGTGCATTTGAGCTATGTATATGCATGCGTATGTGTGTGCATATGCACGTAGCAGTACATCTCTATTCTGAGAAAAAGACACTGGAACTGGATTCTAAAGAATGAAGAACTCTGGTCCTCATTCTGGAGCGAGGAGGGTGTTAGAGGCCAGTGTTACTGGAGTCCTGGCCTTGAGCTTTTGGCTCAAATGTGGACACATATATTTTGTCTAAGTAGTGGGAAAGGCAGTTCTACTTGTGATGGAAACGACGAGCCCATTAAAAAGAAGCATGCTTTGAGGAGGAATATTTGAATCATGACTGTGATAGGCCATGCAGAATTTATAGCAGTCACAGCATCGGTATTCCCAACAATGACCGGTGGAGTATCTTGGCAACTATGCCCTTCAAAGATACTCGTTTTCCCACTGGGAACAATTTAGCAGGACCTATGCTTGAACATCTGAGTATCTGAGAATAGATTTTCCGGAGCAGGAACACATGGGAAGCTCAGTAGGCTGCTCCCAGGCCACCTACCGGAGGCTGGTGAGCAGGTGTCAGCTGTGGTGCGGTCAGACGCTGGACGCTCTGACCACTGGCTAGGGAAACCCTCCCTGGAGCAGGGTGGTCAGGCTGGTTTGTAAAGGGCTGAATGGGGCTGTGTTCCACACCACGGCCAGCGTAACTGAACTTGAACCCCAATGTGTACTGTTTTCCAGCTCTTGGGCGGTCTGACCCTGGAGGTGAGGGGCTCTCCCTGGAACTGGAAGGTTGAGAGGTGGCAGGTTCCATGGGCAGTGGGGGTTTGTGTTCCACTCCATGCCACGCAGGAGCATCATGAAAGGGTCCCTCAGGACTGAACGCCACGGCTGGGGGGACTCCGGCCAAGGTCCCAGGACTCAAGATATGCACAGAAAGCGCGGATGCTCTCAGTCAGGCACGGGGTGCAGCAAGCGAAGCTGCTGCCAGCAACGCTGGCATTCCGTACCAGAGCCCCGTTTGAGTCCTGGCTGGCTCAGCTCCCTCTAATGAGCCTGGAAAGCAGCGGAGGGCGGCCTAAGCACTTGGACCCCTGCCACCCCCGTGGTAGACCCAGTTGGAGCCCTGGGCTCTTGGCTTTGGTCTGTACCAACCCTGGCCGCTGCATCCATTTGGGGAGTGAACCAGCAGATGGGAGATCTCTCTCTTTCTCTCCCTTTTCTCTGTCACTCTCCCCTTGTTTCGACAAGGTGCACATAAGTGATGAAGATGTAGGAGCAGTGGGTCTTCCCCAAGTGTTCTTGTCTGTGTGGACTACCCCTCCGGGGCGCATTCTACTCCCCAGGCAGGCCTGCGATGGGATTTCCTGTCTACTTACGTGGGCGTTGGTGGGAAAGGATGAGCCCGGGTTATTTGCTTCAGAAAGGTAAACATAGCACTTGCATTTGAGTGGCTTACAACAGATTCATACTATATACATCATACATACGTGTGCAACTAGAAAAGTTACAGAAAACTGAAATTGAGTTTAATCCTTAATGACTTGAATATCTCATTATCCTAACCTATGCATGCTAAGAATGCTATAATTTATAATTGAATGATATACTATTTGATTTCCATTTCACACAATAAGATTCAGCTGACTAATTAAACCTCTGTTAAGATACCTAATTTTTATACTACTGAGATAAAACACTCTCAGTTGAAATCAATTCACCAAAAACATATACGGCTAAGTCCGTGGTTAGTCAAAAGGCGCACATCATATTACTAAGACTAAATCGTGTCCTTGACCCCATATCCCTGAGAGTGGGCCTGCATTTAACCATGCAACCAGTGAACTCACCCTGCTCGGGCCCTGTTCCCTCCCAGGCCCTTCCGGGGGTTCATCCCACCCCAGCCGTCCTTTGGGAAGGCCTGTTCTCCCCTCACCTCTCTGCCCTATGCTGTTTCCTTCTCCCCTGCTGGCTTCACCCCAGTTCCCACTCCTGGTCACTGTCTGCTTCTGTCTCATGGTCCCACTCCGTCCTGTGGTCCCCATGCCTTCACTCTGGTTCTGCAAGTCCTGAGCCACATTCTTATTTACGTGGCCCTCTACCAGGCTCTTCTCTTTCTCTGCTGGGTCTACAGCGATTTCACCTTCAAAGAGATGGACCTACTTCCATCAGGACCCAGGGGAAAGTAGGGGTTCAAAGGAGGGGTGTTGCCTTGTTTGTTCTCAGTAGCATCCAAGGTTTGTCTGACAGAGGTGTTTCTTCAACACTGTCTTAGGTTTTCCACTTATACCTGACCAAGGACTACAGCACAAAAGTTGTCCAAACATTTGATTAAATTTTTTTGCATACCAAGATTTTGAATGATTTCTACACATTCTGGTATTATATTGACAAAATTTATCAAGGAGCCGGCGCCGTGGCTCAATAGGCTAATCCTCCACCTTGCGGCGCCGGCACACCGGGTTCTAGTCCCGGTTGGGGCGCCGGATTCTGTCCCGGTTGCCCCTCTTCCAGGCCAGCTCTCTGCTATGGCCAGGGAGTGCAGTGGAGGATGGCCCAGGTGCTTGGGCCCTGCACCCCATGGGAGACCAGGAAAAGCACCTGGCTCCTGGCTCCTGCCAGGATCAGCGCGGTGCGCCGGCTGCAGCGGCGGCCATTGGAGGGTGAACCAGCGGCAAAGGAAGACCTTTCTCTCTCTGTCTCTCTCTCTCACTGTCCACTCTGCCTGTCAAAAAAAAAAAAAAAAAAAAAAAAAAAAAATTTATCAAGGAAACAATTTTCTAATTAACAGGCTGCATAACTGAAAGAATTCCAAAAGTACATTTTCTACAAAAGGAAACAATTTTTGAAAAGCAAACTGTAGAACTATGCTTGCTGTTTACAATGACTTAAGTACGTCTCCAGTGTTGATCAGAGCAAAGGTCCTACCCAACGGAAGTCCTCACTTCATCCTTACCATCTTGCTCTATGCAACTGCTTTCCTGCCACAAAATCTGCTTTGAAGAGAGGAATTGAAAATAGTCTCTGATGTTCCTATTCCTTCGTGAATGCTGGATCTCCACGGGTAGCCCTAATCCAAGGTTACCAGCCCCTGGGCGTCAGAGATACACTGACGGGAGACTGAACATTCACTGTGAAGGAGCTGCACTGGCTAACCATTAAGCCTCTTTGCTTTGGGTCAGAATTGTATTACCCTAGGGTGGAGCAAATTACTTGCTCTTAAATTACCTCAGCAAACACTTGCAAAACATGAGCTGTATGAAAACAAAAGAAACAAGAAAACAAAACAAGGAAAAATATTTCATCATCCTGTGACAAAGCTTAAAGTTACAATTATTGTTTCAAGTTTATCATACACTGGGAAAGGTCCTCATAAATATAAAATTTTAATTAAAGGTGCATAAAAATTATTTAAAATAATTTCAGAGTATTGATACACAAAAGGACTTTGAAGATGAAATTTTTCACTCTTCTGGATAATGGAATTCAGAATTATAGTCTCCTGTGAGGTGAGTGAATCAATTTAGGTTGATCCTAATTTATGAATAGGTATGTTACATAAAGGACTCAGTAGATATTTGTAGAATAAATAAGGAATCACTTTTAAAAAGCAAAATTATAAGACATTTGGAACTCAAAAGCAGCTTGTTCCTTGTAGGAATACCTTTATAGATGCTAACTGCCCTCTCCCATCGTCCCATAGAAGCTTAGATCAATGTAGAGTGTACTATATAGAGTCATGATCCCAGGTCATAAACTCCTGGGACCAGAATTGTTCAGTTTTTTGGGTTTTATTTTTTTTAGGTCAATGCATCTGTAGCGATTCACGTAGTTCTCCTAGTAAGATCTGGGGCAGCACCCTTTAGTCAAACAATATTTTATAATTAAAATATGACTATTCACACTAGGCAAAATATAGTCCAGCCTCCTAACAGATCAAATCAGGTTTTTGTTGCCAAATCAGTTTTGGAGCCAACAGTTGGTTTCCAGAGCCTCATAAATTTCATATGTGGGTAAGGAATGGTGGAAACTGTAGGACCTAACCATGATGATGTTCCATCGAGATAACCTCCTCCTAATGCCATGAGTAGACTTTCTTTATTGGTGGAGTCTCAGTGTTAGAGAAGGAACTGGGCTTTTCATCTTCTCTGCCCTGGGCCTCACCAGTGAGTGGAGGAGGCCCAGGTGAAATCTATGGCTCCTTCCCGCTACAAAATCCCTAATTTCAGTGGACACAAAAAATGCATAGAGCTTGAGGAGGTTCACAGACACTGGCCTCACATGAGTCTACCGCTAGAAGAAAGGGTAACTGAAGATTCTAGATTTTCCAGAAGTGGCACAAAGGGCCCCAGACACACCTGGTTACCCCGGGCTGGGGGAGACATATGTGAGCAACTGTGACCGTGGCAGACGTGGACCACAAACAGTAGGCTCGCAACTGTGACCGTGGCAGACGTGGACCACAAACAGTAGGCTCGCAACTGTGACTGTGGCAGGCGTGGACCACAAACAGTAGGCTCGCAACTGTGACCGTGGCAGACGTGGACCACAAACAGTAGGCTCGCAACTGTGACCGTGGCAGGCTTAGACCACAAACAGTAGGCTCGCAAGCACTTCCAACAGTTGACCCGGGATGCTGTGATGGTCAGCGTGGAGAACAGCACAGCTGTTTCTACACCAGAAGTGCTGTCAGATCAAGATGGCCTCACGTAGGAGGAAGGGACTACGGTCTGCACAGCAGGGAGATGGATGGTAGCGCAAGGCACATTCCAGTCTGCACAGACGGGAGTTGATGGAGTCGGGCAGTGTTAGCACCCACAGGGAGATGACATTATTGACAGCCTCTTGAACACCTCTGTTTCAAAAGCCCGTCTTTGCCAATATGCCTCACCGCACTTGGGGGACATCCTCCTGGGGTGCTGAGCCACGCATTTACTTTTCATTGCCGGTTCAAACCTGGATTCTTCAGTGGCGATGAAAGGCGAGAAGCCAGTGAAATGCAGGTACTGCTGTGCTCTGTAACAAGGCCACCTGTCACCTGCAAACGGAAGGAACCTCACCAGCAGGCTCCGGCACAGCCAGCTGTGGGAGGAGGGGTAGGCAGCCCGTTTAAGCATCTCTGTTATTTCGTAATTGTTCTTAATTTCTGCTTCCTACTTCCTCCTCTCAAAGCTGGCCTGGAATGCACATTCACGTTATGAAGAAGACAGTGAGACAGAACCGGTCGCCTCCGTCACTAGTGCGTTGAATGGCCGCGCCGGCTCGACGGGAAAGCCTGCTGCTTACCTCGAGGCTGGGAGCTTTTGCAGGCGTTGCACTTCTTCTTCTCCTCCTTCTTTCCTTTGGCCGCAGGCTGCTCTAAATGGTTTCTCCTCTTGGCTGCCTCGGAGCACTCGGAGAGGAAGTCCTCGGAGTAGTCGCAGTGGGAGCCCAGGCTGCCGCAGGAGCACTGCGACCTGCTGTAGTCCACGCTCCGGTCCGACGCGGCGCCAGGGCTGCCCGCGCGCTCCGCAGGGGCCCCGCTGGGCTCCAGCACCACGCCGCGGAAGTGGTCATCGACAGCTGGCTTTGTGGGGTCAGCCAGAGACACAGCAGACATCCTGATAAAGAAGGGATGTTTTGAAGGTATCACTATTGACGTTAAAATAACCCCTGCTTTACTATTAGCTATAAATGGCTAATTAGGAGTGTGAGAAAAACACATTATTTTGAAATATTTTCTAGAAGAATTTGTTTTTATATTATTTCTGCATAAAACATAAGACATCAGAGACCAACTTTGGGGACATAATATTCACAGGTAATTTAAGATCAAGTCCATATGAGATAACAACAACAACAATTTATTAGTGAATTACAATCTCATTTAAAAAAAATTATTTATTTGAAAGGCAGAGTTAGAGAGAGATCTTCCACCTGCTGGTTCACTCCCCAAATGACCACAACAGCTAGAGCTGGGCCAGGCAGAAGCCAGAAGCTTCTTCCAGGTCATCTACATGGGAACAGGGGAAATTAGTTACAACTTTTTAAAAAATATTTTATTTATTTATTTGAGAAGTAGAGTTATAGAGAGACCGAGAAAGATTTTCCATCCACTGGTTGACTCCCCAAATGGCCACAACGGCTGGAGCTGGGCCTATCTGAAGCCAGGAGTCAGTAGCTTCTTCCAGGTCTCCCACATGGGTGCAGGGGGAATAAGTCACAAGTTAAAAAAAATATTTATTTTGGGGCTGGTGCTGTGGTGTTGTGGGTAAAGCCGCCATCTGCAGTGCCAGCATCCCATATAGGTGTTGCTTCTAGTCCCGACTGCTCCTCTTCTGACCCAGCTCTCTGCTACGGCCTGGGAAAGCAGTAGAAGATGGCCCAAGTCTTTGGGCCCCTGCATCCGCTTGGGAGACCCAGAAGAAGCTCCTGGCTCCTGGCTTTGGATCAGCACAGCTCCAGCTGTTGCAGCCAACTGGGGAGTGACCCAGCAGATGGAAGACCTCTCTCTCTCTGCCTCTCCTTCTCTCTGTGTAACTCTGACTTTCAAATAAATAAATAAATCTTTTTAAAAAAGATTTTTTTATTTGAAAGAGTTACAGAGAAGTAGAGGCAGAGGTGAGAGAGAGAGAGAGAGGGAGGGAGAGGGAGAGAGAGATATCTTCCATCCACTGGTTCACCCCCCAGATGCTGCAACAGCCAAGGCTGGGACAGGCAGAAACCAGGAGCCAGGAGCTTCTTCCAGGTCTCCCAAGTGGGTGGCAGGGGCTCAAAGCACTTGGGCCATTTTCATCTGCTTTCCCAGTCACATCAGCAGGAAGCTGGATCGGAAGAGGAGCAGCTGGGAGAAGAACCAGTGCCCATGTGGAATGGCAGCATCTCAGGAGGCGCCTTAACCTGGTACATCACAATGCACAGTGCTGTCTCACAATCTCATTTTTATTTTTAAAGATTTATTTATTTATTTGAAAATCAGAGTTACACAGAGAGAGAAAGAAAGAGAGAGAGAGGTCTTCCATCTGCTGGTTCACTCCTCAATTGGATGCAATGGCTGGAGCTGTGCCGATCCGAAGCCAGGAGCCAGGAGCTTCTTCCAGGTCTCCCATGTGGGTGCAGGGGCCCAAGGACTTGGGCATCTTCCACTGCTTTCCCAGGCCACAGCGGAGAGCTGGATCGGAAGTGGAGCAGCCGAGACTCAAACTGGCACCCATGTGGGATGCCTGCACTGGAGGCGGTGGCTTTACTGGCTACGCCACAGCACTGGCCCCACAATCTCATTTTTAAAGGCTGGCTATTTGCTGGGTTCTTTGGCCCCGATTAGCACTGAAGACAATGAGAGCACTTGGGCAGTGTGGCCGCTGTGTGAAATGCAGAGGTACATGTGGAGAGGCACACCTGCTAAAGATTAGATCACACACTTCAGAGTCAGTAGAAAGCTGAGTATCAAAACTGGCTCCCTAGAGCTAATATCTGTTCTAACATTAAAAGTGATAGTGGGTCCCGGTGATGTAATTTGATCCACTGATTATAAGGTTCTTAAGTTTTAATTCAGGGAACTTCCTTTCTATGCTTTCAACTATTTTTTTTTAGTGTGGTTGCTGTTTTTTTTTTTTTTTTTTTAAAGATCTATATTTACTTGAAAGGCAGAGTTACAGAAAAGTTAGAGGCAGAGGCAAAGAGAGAGAGGTTTTCCATCTGCTGGTTCACTCCCCAAATGGCTGCAATGGCTGGAGCCGGGCCAGGCTAAAGCCAGGAGCCAGGAGCTTCTTCTGGGTCTCTCACGTGGATGTAGGGGCCCAAGGACTTGGGCCATCTTCTACTGCTTTCCCAGGACACAGCAGAGAGCTGCATCGGAAGTGGAACAGCTGGGACTTGAACTGGCGCCCATATGGGATGCTGGTACTGTAGGCAGTGGCTTCACCTGCCACAGCACCAGCCCTACTTTCAACTATTTTAGTATGAATCTGACTTCCATGATTATATACTCTGGTGACAAAAGAAGCGATTCAGAAAAACCAGTCTTCGTGGGGAAATCTTCCAGGGATTGGAGATTTGAAGAAAATCCACCAAATGAAAAATTTACATTTCCTTAGAGGAACTGACCATATTTTCAGCTACACTGAAAACGAACTTCTATAAATAATCAGTTTGGAAGAATCAAATTGAAGTTTTTGTCTAATTATTATATACTTATTCAATCTGAAAAATCAAAACTTTATTTGGGAATTGAATAATAATAGTTAGACTTCACAGAAATGTGTGTTTACAACCTAAAAATGAAAAATCTGATGGTGTGATCCTACTTCCTAATCACGGGCATGTGACATTGCACAGTAGGAAGTCCTTGTAAACAAAGTCCTTGACTCAAAAAGTAATTCAAGACCCACATGGAGCCGTTTTTTTTTTTTTTTTTTTCACTTAGGGTAGGTTTGATTAAATTAAGTGCAACTGAGAGGCCGGGGCTGTGGTGTAGTGGGTTCAGCCGCCACCTGCGATGCTGGCATCCCATGTGGGCGCCAGTTTGACTCCCGGCTGCTCCCCTTCTGATCAAGCTGAATAGAAATGGCCTGAGAAAAGCTGTGGAGGATGGCCCAAGTCCTTGGACCCCTGCACCCATAGAGGAGACCCAGAGGAAGCTCCAGGATCCTGGCTTCGGCTTGGCCCAGCACGAGCTGTAGCGGCCATTTGGCCAGTGAACCAGCGGATGAAAGATCTCTCTCTCTGTCTCCTCTCTGTGCAACTCTTTCACATAAACAAATTTAAAAAAAAATTAAGTGCAACTTAGAGTAACTTAAGCCCAGTTTTCACTTGTACATCAGGAATGTTTGAGCCCCCAGAGCAGCTCTCAGAGGCTGCTTCAGGGGTCCACGGAGCTAAGGTGACTCCTCAGCTTTTTAGTCCCAGAATCTTAACAGTCAGTGGGAAAAAATCAAGTTTTTAATTTTATTTATTTTCGATTATTTCCCGGTATTGGGCATAGGCAGCATATTGAACTACTGACTGAACCAGGTAACCCGTGTGCCAGCAGGCTGGATGACGGGACTTTCCCGTTGGCTTCACACCCACACTCCCACCTGTGCCCCACGAGCTCTGCGGTTCCAGCTGAAGCTTCTCATCGGGAGCTGGGACCACCCTCTGATGCAGGCTGACAGCACGCACTCTGCCCCAGAACCCAAACGTTCCACACCATGTGTCTAGCTCCAAGGTAGTTCCAGACAGCTGTGGAATTTAGAAATGCTGGATTCTGGGGCCAGTGCTGTGGCATAATAGGTTAAGCCTCTGCCTGTGGCACTGGCATCCCATATGGGTGGTTAGTTACAGGCAGAGAAAGGGAGAGACAGAGAGAGAGGTCTTCCATCCCCTGGTTCACTCCCCAAATGACTGCAATGGCCAGAACTGGACCAATCCGAACCCAGGAGCCAGGAGCTTCTTCCAGGTCTCCCACGTGGATGCAGGGGCCCAAGGACTTGGGCCATCTTCTACTGCTTTCCCAGGCCATAGCAGAGAGCTGGATTGGAAGTGGAGCAGCCAGGACTAGAACCGGCGACCATATGGGATGCCAGCACTGCAGAGGGTGGCTTTACCTGCTAAGCCCCAGTGCTGGCCCTTCTTCACTTTTTTTTTTTTAATTTTTTTTATTTTTGACAGGCAGAGTGGACAGTGAGAGAGAGAAACAGAGAGAAAGGTCTTCCTTTTGCCATTGGTTCATCCTCCAATGGCCGCAGTGGCCGGCGCGCTGCAGCCGGCGCACCATGCTGATCCGATGGCAGGAGCCAGGTGCTTATCCTGGTCTCCCATGGGGTGCAGGGCCCAAGCACTTGGGCCATCCTCCACTGCACTCCCTGGCCACAGCAGAGAGCTGGCCTGGAAGAGGGGCAACCGGGACAGAATCCGGCACCCCAACCGGGACTAGAACCCGGTGTGCCGGCGCCGCAAGGCGGAGGATTAGCCTAGTGAGCCGCGGTGCCGGCCCCTTCCTCACTTCTTTATAAAGCTACTGCACAAAGGCATAACATCACTAGAATCTCTTTCACAGCAGCCTACCTCAGCATCAGGTCAAAACAAACCCTATGGCTGGCGCTGCGGCTCAATAGGCTAATCCTCTGCCTGCGGCGCCAGCACCCTGGGTTCTAGTCCCAGTCGGGGTGCCAGATTCTGTCGTGGTTGCTCCTCTTCCAGTCCAGCTCTCTGCTGTGGCCCGGGAGTGCAGTGGAGGAAGGCCCAAGTCCTTGGGCCCTGCACCCGCATGGGAGACCAGGAGAGGCACCTGGTTCCTGGCTTCGGATCAGCGTGGCGCGCCAGCCACTGGGGGGTGAACCACCGGAAAAGGAAGACCTTTCTCTCTGTCTCTCTGTCCACTCTGCCTGTCAAAAAAACAAAAACAAAAACAAACTATGCTCAGGGTCTTAAAGTCTCAAGGTCCCTGCTTTATCAAGAAAGCAAAAAGAGAAATGAGCTAGCAGCACATCCTTCTCCACAGGGATCTAATGTTCTCTCTCCTGAGAGGTTTCTTTGCACAGTTTCTGCTTTTTGCTGTGCTGTGTGATGTGCTAGTCTTCTCTGAAGTACACTGGGCAGTCTGTAATCTCTCCGTGACAAGAAATCTTAGCCCAAATTA